CACACAAGTCTCTACCGGGCCAAGCATGAGGGGGTTCATTGCAGCATTATTACCAGTGGGAGTAGTGTGGTGAGGGAGTTGGAAGTAGCCTGACTGCCCTCTCTGGGGAGGAGACAGTAAACTGTGGAGGATGCACACTAGAGGGGCCCCAAGCAACTCTCAGACACCATGGACTCAATGTGCCTGGAGTCACATGGACAAACCTTAATAAAACTGTGGTGCTCAGCAAGAAAAGTAAGAATAGGATGAGCTATTTAACACAATCATGGGTATGTCAATTAGAAAAGACATGAGCAGGAAATACTGGTATCCATTTTGCAAGAACCCACTCGACCAAAAAAGATATATATGAGAATATTAGAATGTTTGCCAGTGGGGGGAGGGGGCACCGAAAGAGACTAGGATATGGAGATATGAGGAAATACATGAAATTTAAATCAAGAGGGCCTCTCTGGTGGCACAGTGGTTAAGAATCCGCCTGCCAGTGCAGGGGACACAGGTTTGAGCCCTGCTCCAGGTAGACTCCACATGCCGCGGAGCAACTAAGCCCGCGAGCCGCAACTACTGAAGCCCGTGTGCCTAGAGCCCGTGCTCCGCAACAAGAGAAGCCACCGCAATGAGAAGCCTGCGCGCCGCAACAAAGAGTAGCCCCCGCTCGCCGCAACTAGAGAAAAGCCCGCGTGCAGCAACAAAGACCCAATGCAGCCAAAAATAAAATTAATTAATTAAAAAAAAAGACCATTCGCTTAAATAAAAACTTTAAATCAAGAAGTATCTTGTGGGGGATAATGAACTATAAACTGAGGGTGTGGGATTAACGCAATCCAGGACACCTGTGATCTGAAAAGGAAGACAAGGGAAGGGTGTGGAGGAGGATGAGTCCCAGATTTATTTATCTGTCTATCTATTTATTTATTTATTTTTGGCTGTGTTGGGTCTTCATTGCTGTGCGCGTGCTTTCCCTAGTTGCAGTGAGCTGGGGCTACTCTTTGTTGCACTGCGCGGCCTTCTCGTTGCAGTGGCTTTTCTTGTTGCGGAGCACAGGCTCTAGGCACGCAGGCTTCAGTAGTTGTGGCACACGGGCTTAGTTGCTCCGTGGCATGTGGGATCTTCCCAGACCAGGGGATCAAACCGATGTCCCCTGCATTGGTAGGAGGATTCTTAACCACCTCTCCACCCGGGAAGTCCGAGTCCCAAATTTAGTAGTGAAGTTGTCTCTGGGGCGGGATCAGGTGGCTTCAAATGCCATCTGCAATGTATGCACCTTAAGAAAACAATCTGCAGTGAATACAGAAAATACTTAGATTTGACAAGGCTGGGATGCAAGGATGTAGGTGTAGGTTACATTATCCCTACGTTTTCTTGTATAGTTGAAATTTTTTTTTTTTTTTTTTGCGGTACGCGGGCCTCTCACCGTTGTGGCCTCTCCCATTGCGGAGCACAGGCTCCGGA